GAGAAATTATAGAATGGTACAGTATCACCACGTCAGATAGTGATACTCCCACTCAAAATCTGCCACCTGTCTCTTTTTAAAGAAAACTACAGTATTTTATACAACTGGACTTTCACATCCAATTTTACCCTTCACAATAAAATTAATAAAAGAAAAACCACAAAGAAGAAGATTGCACCACTCCCACCCGACTGAAATTACCAGTCCTGCTCGCCGTCCCCTCTCTCTGAGTTTCTAATCCTCCATCTCTCTCTACTGTACCAGCAACTACTTTATCTTACATTTGTTGTTTATTTCCACATCGAAATTTTGCCCATTTATTCATCTCCCTCAAAATAAAAAGAATAAAAAAAATTAAAAAACTAGAATATTGTACACCAACCACTGCACTCAGCTTTGCCTCCCCTGGCCATCGCCCCCGCTCTCTCAGTTTCTCTCTCTCATCTAGAAGAATGAGATCTGCATATTCCAATTGATCCCAAGTCAACTTTTGGCCAGGTCATATTCAATTGAAAAGTCTAAAGCTTTCTCATATGTTATCGAGAGAGGATGGAGAGATGGAGGGAAGAAGAGAGAGAGAGAGAAAGTGAAAGAGAAGGGTGCGGCAGCAGAGGGAGATAGTTTGGGTAACTCGTTCTTTTTTTATTTTTTTTTAAAATTTTATTTGAAAGGGTAAAAGTATAATTTCATATCCAGCTGTAATTAGTTTTTAACTTTTAAAAATAAAATAGACATGTGGCAGATTTTGAATGGGAGTATCACCAGCTGACGTGATGATACCGTACTATTCTATAATTTCTCGTGGAAGGGAGAGAGATGGCTGCAATTTTTATTTTATTTTTTAAATTGAAGTTTTAATCTCCTTGTTCTAAATTTTTTATCATGGATTTTAATTTGTATGGTATCTTTTATTCATCAGAATCCACTTAACTTTATATAATTGGATGTGTGGATTCCATATATGTGCCATGTCAGCACTTTAATAGAAAATTTGATGAAAGCTAATGCTAGGAACCAATTTGATGTATAAGAGTAACCTTAAGGACTATTAATATCACAAAAAAACATTAAGGACGAAAAGTGATAATTTCACTAACCTTAGGGACCATTTGCAATAAAAAGCCAAAGTTTAATGAAATGATCCACATGAGGAGTCCATATATGGCACCCTAAACATGGGATAACAACTATATAGAATTTCGCCTTCAAACATATATGAAAATAGGGATAACAACCACAAACACTTCACATGTAAACCATAAACACTTGGAGAAAGCTTTGAATTGCTAAGCTATGACTATTGGAAATTCTGAACAATACTTATCAGCCATGTTTATGGTATCTTTTATTCATCAAAATCCACTTAGCTTTATATAATTGGATGTGTGGATTCCATATACGTGCCATGTCAGCACTTTAATAGAAATTTTGATGGAAGCTAATGCTAGGAACCAATTTGATGTATAAGAGTAACCTTAAAGACTATTAATGTCACATAAAAATATTAAGGACGAAAAGTGATAATTTCACTAACCTTAGGGACCATTTGCAATAAAAAGCCAAAGTTTAATGAAATGATCCACATGAGGAGTCCATATATGGCACCCTAAACATGGGATAACAACTATATAGAATTTCGCCTTCAAACATATATGAAAATAGGGATAACAACCACAAACACTTCACATGTAAACCATAAACACTTGGAGAAAGCTTTGAATTGCTAAGCTATGACTATTGGAAATTCTGAACAATACTTATCAGCCATGGTTCGGTAAGTATCATTTGCAATTTCTCATTATTCTCAATCTTCTACTTTCTTTTCACTTCCCTTTATTTTCCCCTCGATTCTCATTCTTCTAGTCAAGACTCGAGACGTAGTGCTAACAAACACCCGGTAGCCTTGGCACATATCAGAAAAAAAGGCAGTACTCATTTTTGGTTTGATTTGGTAGTATCATTGCAACTTGTTATTCTCAGTCTTCTAGTTTTCTTCTTTTCTCTTTGCTGATTCTCAGTCCTCTAGTTGAGAGATAATGCTGACAAACACCTGGTAGCCTTGGCGCATATCGGAAAAAAGGCAGTACTCATTCTTGGCATGGTATGTGGCCATCAAGCCTGTACATGCATGCAAAAGGGCAAAGAATCAGAACATCATCAACTAAGATATAATAACCTACGAACTCCCAGAAACAACTGCTATGCATATCATGAGTAGTATTCTCCTCTACTTTGAAAGGTTGTGTGGAGAATACCCTTTTATAAGACTAATCAGCTTACCTTCATGTCAGTTTTACCACTTATCCAGTATAAACAGTCATACAAATTAAGTTCCTTCTTTTTTAGCTCAGCTTCCCTTATCTTCACATCCTCTCACAATTGACAGCCACTAGGCCCAGAACTGTTCTCACTTGTAATTCAAAGCTTCATATCCACAAGTATATTTTTATACCAGCATCTTAAACTAATTACCATCACACCATGCACAAATAAGTATGCTTATCATGAGAAGTATTGTCCTTTACTTCGAAAGGTTGTGTGCCCTTTAAACAAGACAAACCAGGTGACCTTCATATCCGTTTACCACTTACACAGGATAAACAGTCATACAAATTAGGTTTCCTCTTTCTGAGCTCAGTTTCCCTTATGCTCTCATCCTCTCAAAATTGACAGCCAACAGGCCCAAGAACTCATCTCACTTATAATTCAAAGCTTCATATGCACAAAGTCTATTTTCTTAAACTAATTACCATCAAAACATACACTAAGTAATACAACCTTTGATGCCATCATAGCATTATGGTTGTTTCTAAGTTCTAAAGTATCTATAACTTTTGTGAACTAAATCCAAAACGCCAAAAGAAATAGTATCATTACCGTAGCCAGACGTTTGAACATCAAATCCTTCATCCTAGCACACAATAAAATGATATAGTTAAGGAAAAATACAAGAGAAAGAAAAGGAAAAAAAAAAAGCCTTGGAAGAAAGATTTTTTATTTATTTTTAATTGTACCTGCAGTTCTCGAATGAGAGGCAAACTTCCAGTAATTGAGTAAGGCTTTACATGCCCAACAACCTCTTCAGTAGCTTTACATAATACGTGAAAGCCACGGGAGTTGAGATCACAAGCAACTCCAGACATTGTCTCATCAAAACTTAATGTGAGGCTGTAGAGAAAAAGAAAAGTAAAACTACTTTTTTTATTTTAATAATTAGCATGCCCTAAAAGTTTGTTTGTTTGTTTGTTTGACATATCTGATGGTAGCTATTTAAAATGCAGAGAAAACAAAGGATCATCTAAGGGTAAGAGAGATTGTGAAAGCACAGGGAAGGGTTTATGGCATACATTTGACTAATGTTAAAATTAAGAAAGCTCACATGATTGAGTAATTACATGTTAACTAAATGAATATCTTATAAGAATTACACGAGAGAGAGAGAGAGAGAGAGCACCTTCCCCTTAAGTTTTCATCTGGTAGGACATACTTTGAAACCGGACCTCGTGAGTCAAGCTTTCCAATGTTTTCATTAATGTCATCCACATATTCTTGAAGCTTTTCCATCACGTCCTTAACACTGTAGCAGGTTAATAGTGTTTCGCAAGTTAAAAATGGAGCCCATATGAAATTTTTACAATGAAACTATAAGAGACGGAACTTAGCCAAACAAAGCAGGTTGCTTACTTGTAGAAGGGAGTTAACCTGCAAACAAAAAAAAAGAAAAAAAAAAAAGAATTAAGAGCAACTCCTAGAAAAGAAGAAGATTAAAGACAAATCCTCTGGGATTGTCATTTCTCTTACGACCAAGAAAAGAAAAGAGATGTCATTTTACCATAAATGCCTCAAACAAAAGTCATCGAGAAGATTATACACCTGACATCTCCTGAAATTGTGCACTCTGCTGGAATTTGATTTATTCCGCCCCCAGGATCTGCAACCGGAAAAAGGTCAATGTAATGTAAAAGCATTTTTCCAACATTTTCACCATAAGATTGAAACCTTAAAACTTACAACTCCATTGAGTTGGTTTCATGGTTGACGGTGTTGCAAATCCATAGACCTCTTCCTTGGGATGGGGAGGAAAGTCTCTATAGAACCGCGACTGGATCTCTTTCAGTGCTTCCATAGCTAGCTCCAAAGGGTTTATAGCCTGCAGATATTCAACATCAGCCTCAAGAGATAAATAAGTAGAAACAGGATGTAATTTCTGCTTTGATTCTTAACTTATTGTAAAAATGCTCAATTGTCCAAGTAGATACAAGTTCAGGCTCTGATTCACTTGCTCCTAACAAGTTTTTATCCTAACGAAATATAGGAGCCATTTGTAGGTCAAAGAAAATAAAATTGAATTTGAACCAAGATAACTTTTTACCTTCTTTTGATGTAATAAAAAAAATCATTTATAACCATTTTAAAGCAATGACTATTCATAAAAAGCCCATATAAAATCAAAACTTCCCTATCCATAATAGTTTGGGCACAGCTACTGAAACCCTATATTGCACATCATTGAAGGCATTTTCTATTATATGGAAACCATCATGCCTTCTCTTATTATTACCTGAGCCCTAAGTTGTTAAGCGTTCTTGCTCCTCCTAGGGTCAACAAAAAAATGAAACACACAACAAAAAAATAACATCACTGTTTGGTATTCTGCTGACCGAGACCCCCACCAGCATACATGGTAGTGACATGGTAGCTGCAAAGAAGTAGGCACTGGGGTATGCATCTAAGCCAATAGTAGGCAAATGCTGAGCCCAAACAACAAATTCAATAACTGTATTGATCATGGAAATGATTATGATTTATAGAATGAGACAATCTAGTCCGGTCAAGTTGAAGCATCACAACCCCCCCACAGCTCCAGTCATAGGATTTGCAGCATAAGAGAGAGAAGTATCTTATATTGTTTTATGTTTTATCGGGGAAATGTTTATCACGCCTTCTCTTAATAACTCAGCCACATCCATCTAAGTAGCACCTTCAACTTTTACCAGTCAAGTTTGTCTCAACCTGTAACATTTTTCTTTGCTAACCAACTTAATACCTCAGCCACTCCAGAAGTCCCCATTTCTATTCCCAGTTATTTAAAAAGAATACAGGCTTTTTCCTCACCCTCTCATATCTTGGGTAGAGATAAAAAAAAAAAAAAAAAAAAAAAAAAAAAAAAAAAAAAAAAAAAAAAAAAACTACAAAACCAGTCTAACTAATTTCCATAATGTCATTGCAAAAGATGTAACTGACAATCTCCAGAAACTGTGCACTGACAAGTCAATGAATTAAACAACATAGTGGTATACCTTGTGTGCTAAACCACTGTGAAAAAGCTTCCCAGTCACATGAAGCTTCCAAGGTATCATACCACCAGTACCAATGCAAGGTTGTTTATCTGCCGTGTCAATCCAAAACCTGAGTTGAATCCCAAAAGTCATAATCATAAACATGAATCAGAGAGATGTTTCTTAGTTTTCCTTCAGTTTTACAAGAAATGCAAATTACTTACAGAGGACCTTCCTTTAGCTTACTGAGTAGCCCATCCTTCACGAGTGCATCCACACCAACACCTGAAATGGCAGAATTTTCTTCATTTGCTATAAAGACTGCAACCACAGTGGACTTCAATTTTGGCTTTGTCTCTGCCAGCCGTCTCATGAGCTCAGCTACAAGTGCAACATGGCCCAAGCAATCAGTGGTTCCACGGCCACAAAGCTTATCACCATCAATGCTCAATGAGAATGGATCAAACTCCTGCAAATACAAGAATCATATTTGATGCACAATGAATCATCACTACCTAACAAAATTGAGAAAATAAAATAATGATGATCATTTAAACTACATCCCAGTAGTGATCCATTATTTGTACACAATGCAAACGACAAAAGCAAGCTCCTGTAATGAAATACTAAACTATCATTGCAAATGGAACATTCAAAGAGCTTCAGAGCCTAAGCTGTGAAGAAGAAAAAAAAAATAATAGGCCACAGTTACAGCATTTTATGGTTGTCTTGAACTAAAGCTTACTGTCAAATTATGCAAACTGAAAGACCAAACAAGAACACAATAGAAAACAAAACATTTATCAAAGAAAATCATCGAAAACTCTGGTTAAACTTCACAATTGATTTTAGATGCATCACGGTGAAATAGAAATATATCAAACATCTGATTCCAATTGAAACAAACACAAGATAAGGAGTTGGTAAGATATGAAGGAAGGATAAGCTAGCGGAAACGAAACCATAGTTATCAATGATTTGAAAAAGGTAAGGCCACACAGAAAAAATGAGAACTTCTGAATTTAATTTAGGCCAGAGACGAATAAAGGGGATTTTCAGTTCAAAACCAATGAATTTTGTCAAAAATCACGAGTTCGTAAATTTTTTAGTCCAATCGAGTTCAACCTTGAATTGGACGCATAAAATCCCAGATAGAATCAGAGAAACATAAATATTTATCTCCAAAGGGGGAAACGCTAACCTGAAAAATATCAGGAGCATAAGTCAATAAAAAATAAAAAATAAACATTCAGAAAATACTGATGTGAATACACTAAACAGATAGCCTCGAAACCACTAATGCAATCCATAACCACACGAACCCAGATTAGTTTACACACAACTCGAAACAAGTAATAATCAAACTGAGGCTCCAGCCAATTCAGAAAAACCCCATAACAGAAATGCCAAAAGAATCAGCATACAGGCACAATCAACAAAAACACAAATTGAATTGAACAGCTATTTATATGTTGAAGATAGACTGCCAAACTCTAATGTTCTTGAACGAATACAAGCCAACCCAAGATAACAATAACAGAGCAAAATTCAAAGATTGGATATAAGAAACAAACCCAGTCATTAGGATTTGCAGTGACCACGTCCATGTGACACCCCACAAAGGACAAGATCTTCCCAGGCACAGTTCCTGGGTATTCTACAATAACGTTTCCTCTTCCAGGAAAGTAGGTTACATGGTTGATCACCAAGGGTCCACCGCCTGTGGTGGTGCTAAGGGACAGGAGGGAATCAAGCACGTGCTTGACCGCTCGGTCCTCCTGAGGGATCAGTTCAGGTGGGTTGTTTTGGAGGTACTTGGACTCCCCAATAAGCTTGGAGAGAAGAGATATGAAGGAGTCCTTGTTGAGGTCACCTAGTATTTTCTTGAGCTCGGTTGAGGAAGCCATGGCTGTGAAATGAGACTTCTTTTTTTCTTTTCTTTTGTGGGTAAGCTTTCGAAGTCGACCGGTATAAAGAGGGAGAGAGAGAAACGGTTGCAGGGTGGAGTGTGGCTGACGACTTGGAACACCGCAGTGGTGGGAATTGCAAAAGGCAGGATTACAACTTTGGTCCCACAGTTTGGGCCACTTTTGAGTTTTCGTTAATATCCTCCATGTTGTTTACGAAATCTGGTTCTTTTGGGGTTATAGAGGTGATGGTTGTTTATCAATTCCATCCATCTCTACTACAGCACTGGACATGAGAGTTTCTTCTCATCCAGCTCCTCGCGAATTAAACAATTAAAAAATAATATACACGGTGAATAATATACGGAATCGTGGTATTCTTTTAAATTTTATCTAATCTATATCTATTATAAATTTAAAATTTTTTGTGTTTTAATATATAATTAAACTCGTCTTCTATTTATAGATAATGTCGTTTTTATATAACGTTATAATGAATCTTTATTTTATTTTTCCTTTGTATTATCATATCGAATCGACTAAAATTTAGTAAAATTTAGAAATAAAAAAAATTCGCGGGCGAATATTTACTCTTTCAACATTCAATTGTAAGATTCGTCTATGACATGACCTCTCAGAATAAATGAATAGGTTTCTGGTTCGTTCCGCCATCCTACCCAATGAATCATTAGGATTCGTTTTCAATCGAATCTTATGCATTCACAGGTTCTGTCGTCCCCACCACTTCTCGATTAATGGTTAGGTCTGAATTCTACAACGGAGCCCTTAATGAAATGGAGCCCATAATGAAATTTATTAATGAATGAAATTTTTTCTTGAGTCAACCTTCTCAGTCTTTATTGGCTCAGGGCTCTTGATTTTTTCTTCTATGCACCGATTTGTCTAATTATGGATCAATCAGTATTGATGCTTTATTACATTCCCTTTATATGAGATGACTCATAGACCTTACATATTGGAATTATATATCATTGATATTTCTTTTCCTATCTTTCTCTCACCCTTCCATTTATCTGTATACTTTTATTGCTTTACAACTCATAATCAGATTGGTTTTTCTTTTGTGTTTATGCAAAAATGATTTCAGTTACTACAATGATATGACTCATATATCATATCTTGACTGGTTCCTTATATCCAAATAATGCGAAGAGATGAGTTGATTATTAGTTCTATAGTTATCAGTTCGTACTACGGGCCGGTCGATTTTGTTGAATCCTATAATCCTAAAAAAACCAACGAGTCACACACTAAGCATAGCAATTATATCAAACGATTAATCGAATTTTTATTCAACCTTATAGAGGGTTTTTAAGGGGTGGGCACCATCCAAATTGGATCGGTTTTATCTCAAAATCATGGCCGAACTAATTACAATATAATAATTTGATTTGGTTCAGTTTCGATAATACTCATGGAGGAAACCAAATCAAACTAAACTAATTTAAAACAATTTGATTCGGTTTACTTCGGCCGGTTTGGGCCTAAGTCCAATTCTCTTTTATTTTTCATTTTTTCAACATTATTAGCCAAATTACAACAAAAAATAAAATAAAATAAAACTTGCTACATACCTTTTTCATTTTGTAGTGTATCAAACCATCCTAAAACTCAACAAATCATAAAACATCAAATTTCAATAACTAATATAGCTACAATTCAACATTGATATCTAGTTATTTTCTAATTAGAGCACTACATGTGTAAAATTAAATACAAATAAATAAATATATAAGTAAACGGGTTTATGCCGATTTATAAAAGCTCAAAACTAAATCAAACTAAATAATATACGGTTTGGTTCGATTTTTAAACTGTTTGACTTTTTCTTGATCAAAACTAAACCAAATTGTTAATTACAAATAGGATCAATCGGTTTAGTTGGTTTGGCCGGATTGATGCCCACAGTGGCGGATCCAAGAATTTTTCAAGGAATGAGCAATATTTAAAAGTCTAAAGCTCCAAAAAAAATAAAAAATCCCTTTATTTCATAAGAAAATGTTAAATTTTGATGCCTACTTTAAAGAACTTGCACTTTATATGGCAAAACTCAATACCCAAAATCAGACGCATAATCTATCTAAAAATACTTATGTGGAAAAGAAGAAAAATTTAAGGTTTCAGTTAAGCTAGAGAAAAGTACTATAAATCTTACTTGATTTTGTGCACTTACTTGATTTTGTGCACTTCTAGTTAATGTTATACTAGTGATTTACCCCCTAAACTTGTACCTATCATTTATCCTTGTTTTTTAGAAAATTAAGGATACAAACTTCTTTTTTTTCGTCAATTCCCCCCCACCCGGTGGCCGTCTAATCCTCAACATTTCATCCAATTTTCTATTGAATCATTAAAAATATTTTTTTTTTTGAAAAAAAAAATAATAATAACCAAGAAAAAAACCCTACCCCACCCACAGACCCAGCGCCCCCTCTCCCTCCCCTCTAGTTTTTTTTCTACTTCTCATCCTATCCCCGATGCTTCTACCCCATTCCCAGGGATTCCAGCTCAGCCCCTCCAACCCTCTCTCTCTCTCTCTCTCTCTCTCTCTCTCTCTCTCTCTCTCTCACCCTTTCCTCTCCCACACATAACCTCCCCATCCTCCAGCTCAACCACTCCAAAACCCCAAACCCCCCACCCCCCCTCTCTCTCTCTCTTTGAATGGTTAATGGGAGTAAAGGAAAGCTCATATAGAACCCATAAACATGATCAGAATGTTTTTCTCTATGTCTTTTAACCTATCAATGGCCAAGTCAAATGGGTATTTAAAATAACAAATGTGTATTGCTTCAATTGGTGAAAACAAAAAAATCATGTTGAGTTTTTGAAATTAAAGGTGGGTGTTGATGGCTTCGTGAGTTGGAATTAGGGAAGTGGCTAGTGGAATTGGATGGAATTTGGGGGAGGAGGAAAGGAAGAGAGAGAGAGAAGGTTGTGGGAGTGGTGGGTTGATTTTTATTAAAATTCTTTTATTTTTTGTGTTTTATATTTAATGTTATTTTATTTTTTAGTATTTAGTTATTTTTAATGTACAAATTGACCAATGTGCCCTTATATTTAACGGCAAATTAGATGAAATGTTGACGATTTAGACGGTATGGGGGAAATTGGCTGAAAAAAAAAGTTCATATCTTTAATTTTCTAAAAAAAAAAGGATATGGGGCAAATCGAAAGTTAGGTACAAGTTCATGGGGTAAATCACTAGAATACCCTTAATGTTAAATCTGTCTCTGTCCCTGCCTCTCTCTCAGTTTCATATTATAATGCGTAAATTTTGATCTATCTCAGGTTGTGATTACAAGCATAAATATAGATGGTAATCTTTCCTAATTGGTATTCATTAAAGGATACTTGCTTGGTGTACATGTGGAAACTTTTTTGTGCGTTTCTATTTAATGTTACATCTGTTTTGCTGCTTGTACATGTGGAAACTTGTTTGTGCGGTTCTATTTAATGCTCTCTCTCTCTCTCTCTCTCTCTCTCTCTCTCTCACACACACACACACACACACACACATATTATAATGTTAGTTTAATATATTGTAGGTTGTGCTTACAAGTATAAATATCGATGGTAATCTTCTTCTAATTGGTAGCCATCAAAAGGAAAAGGTGAGTTCTTGACTACGAATGAAATTACACTTAAGGTTTAGGATTTTTTTAGTTGGGCTTAAAAGTAGGTCATTCTAGTGTTAAAAAAAAATCATTCTAGAATTTTCAAATGCGGTCACTGTTTTGGGAACTTTTATTGCTGGAATACATTTACTTGTCAAATTATACTTCTTATTTGAATGCTTAGTTAGATATGAGATTGTTGTGCCCTTTATTATTTATTCTTCCAAAGAAAAATAAAGGAAGATTGATTCTTTTCTTGTATGCCAAAAGCCTCTAAATGGTTTGTTTTTTGTACTAATTTTTGTGCTAACCTTTTATGATTATTCCCTAATGAAATAAATTTAGACTTTATTATAATTTATGGCAAGATTTCTTTTGACAATGTGCCTTACACAATTTTTACTTTAATTATGTGATAGGGTCTGTCTCCTGAGCAATTCAAGATTGTGATTCCTAAAATTCCTGCATATTTCATGGTATGAAAATTTTTCCTTTAATTTTTATCAGCAAAGTTGTATTCATAGTTCTACTAGCACACAATGAGGAATATCCTTTACACTGTACTGTTGAATACTGCAATGAACTGATGTTAGAATATATATATATATGTTCGTTAGTTCTATGTCCCTTAATTTTATCTTTTTGCTAGTTTGAACCATTGATGAAGATTTTACTGTATAATTATACAACTACATATTAGAACACAACCTGCCTTATTAGCCTTGTTTTTTGATCCATGGTTTTTACAATGTGACTTTCTAATCCCTTAATCGAATTGTTTGTAGTCAGTTAAATGTTACCTTTCCTTGCATTTGAGATAGATCTATGCATTGTTCAGATTAGATAAACATCTATGCATTGCATTTGAGTTGTGGCTAGTTTGGTTTATTTTGTAATTCGCTTGTATATTATTTTCTTTTGTGCTTATATATAATGTATATAATGTCTTTGTTGCAATAAGATGGCAAATAAGAATAGTAACTTCACCACAACTGAAAATCTTGCAATTGGATCCTAAAAATTCTTAGCATTGTGGAATGCTCAAAATATAGCCACCTTCATTGACCTTTGTATCAAGGAGGTGGATCTACAATCGTCCCAATACTCACTTTAATAAAGTTGGATGGACAAGGTTGGTTACAAATATTAGTAAAGAGATAGGAAGACCGTATGAAAAATTACAATTGAAAAACAAGTGGGATTTACTAAAAAAAGAATGGAAATTATGGAAAGATCTAAAAGGGAAGGAAACTAGTCTTGGGTGGAATGTCGCTAAGAATATTGTTGATGCATTTGAGGAATGGTGGCAATATAAAATTCAGGTATTTGAATTTTTTGTTCTTGTTTTAATATAGTATTGATATCCATGTTTTTTTTTTAAAAACTATGTTTAAAAATTCATAATAATATTTGTATATGTCATAATGTAGGTAGAACCCAAATATGCAAGATTCCAATTTGAAGGTATTAGGCTTGAGATGGAGGAGAAGTTAGATAGGATGTTTTTGAACGCCACAACCACTGGTAAGCATTCTTGGACACCTTCATCTGGTGTACTTCCAGTTGAAAGTGATGATGATGTCAATCCACTTGAAGTTAACGGTGATTCGAATGAGTTTGTGCCAATTGAAACCACTCAAACTACAAACAATGTGCCAAAAAAGAGAACTAATCAATCATTTGAAATTCAAGATAATAATGAGAAGAAAGGTAAAAGAGGGAGGAAAATGGGAGGTGCTGCAAAATTATCATTGCAAATTGAACGTCTTGTGGAGGTGGTTGAGAGTAGGAGTACTAGAACATCAATGGCTAATATAGTTTCACAAAGAACTAGTATTGCTGAAGTGATGAAAGATGTTGCAACTATACCTAGGGTAGAGCATGGTAGCAAGTTATGGTGGTTTGCAACTAAATTGTTTTGCGAAGGGAAGAGAAAGATGTTTGTTGTCATGGAAGATCCTGAACTCAAACTTCAATTTCTTAATCATGAGTAGGATTGTATCCCATATAGGATTCTAGATATATTCCTCATTTCAAGGTAACTATTGCATCTACTACTCTTAAATATTTGTCTATGCTTTATTATGTTATAATTAATGTTATGTTTGCCTTTTTATCACTTGTAGGATTGTATGGGTGCTATAGATGGTGTTCATGTGCGAGCTATAGTATATCCTTCTAATCAAATACCATTTATTGGTAGAAAGGGGATACCTACCCAAAATGTGATGGCTGCGTGCAATTTTGACATGCAATTTATATTTGCATGTGCCGGATGGGAAGACACGGCCCATGATACAAGGATATTTCTATCGGATTTACGTGATCAAAGTTTGAATTTTCCTAAACCTCCAAATGGTACTATTTCTATCTAAAGAAAAAAATTCATATAATTTATATTTTAGTTTTTTACATTGTGAATACTCAATTAAATTTTGTAAACCTCCAAATGGTATTCAAGGTGAAGAGATTGAGAGAGAGCTTGATGCACAACAAGAAGATGGTCCTGTAACACAAGAAATGAAGACATTTTGAAATCATATAGCCGCAAGTTTAATGAGTTCATTTGCTTAAAAATGTATATGATTGCTTGTTTATGACTAGTTTAATTTTTGTTATGACCATATTATTGACAATATATTTATTTTTAATGGAATATTTTATTTATTTAATAATTAAAATAATTTTTATGG